TGCCGGGTTCAGAATCTCCGTTTGCGAGTGATTGGGGTAGTCAGGCTGGTGGACCTTGCCGTTCTTGTAGCAGGGCGTCAGCAACTCCGGATACGCTCTGGCCATTGCGTGCGTGTGTCCCGGAGTGTCCATTTCTGGAATGACTCGAATGCCTCTCATCCTCGCGTACTCAATCACCTCCTGCACGTCTGCTGGCGAGTAGACGTGTTTGGGCGTGTAGGCGCCCTTCTGGTGAATGGTGGGGTACTTCTGCGAAACAAAGGGAAAACTTTGGTCATCGACGAGATGCCAGTGAAAAGCGTTCAGCTTATTATAGGCCATTGCGTCCAGATTAGCCAGCAGAATCTTCTTGGGCAGGTAGTGGCGGGCGGTGTCGAGGAGGAGGCCTCGGTAGCGGTACCGGGGACCGTCCTCAATTTCCGTCTCATTGATCAGCAGCTGGTTCTTGGCGTCAGCGTACACCAGCTGACTGAAGGTCTCCAGACCGCGCAGGGCGCCCCACACTGTCTGCGCCTCGATGACGCCGGCGGCTCCATCGGTGGGCACCTTCACACTGTACGACTCATCCTCACTGGGCGATGGGTAGCCACAACTGGCGGCCGTTCCCTGCGCCACTACCACAACAACCTGCTGTAGCAGTGGGTGACCAGCGGCGGCGTGAAACTTGCTGTCCAGAAAGATGATGTCAGTGTAGCGGGCCAGTGCCGCCTTGATGATGTCACAGGAGGCGAGGTTCGTCGAGAACTGGAACTTCGCCTTGTCCAGCGTGAACTGGGTGCTGGTGGAGTACTTGTACTTGCGAGGCTTCGGCCANGCCACTACCACAACAACCTGCTGTAGCAGTGGGTGACCAGCGGCGGCGTGAAACTTGCTGTCCAGAAAGATGATGTCAGTGTAGCGGGCCAGTGCCGCCTTGATGATGTCACAGGAGGCGAGGTTCGTCGAGAACTGGAACTTCGCCTTGTCCAGCGTGAACTGGGTGCTGGTGGAGTACTTGTACTTGCGAGGCTTCGGCCAGACATCAGCAGGACTGGGCTGTCCGATGCCTTCCTGAGAAAAGAAGAAAATTGATCAATACAATCAATACAAGCAAAAACTACGGGAAAAACTTACATCCAACGGCAGGCGGTACTCAATTGGATAGAGGACGGCTTCTACTGAAATGACGGCAAAGGCCGCTGCCAGCAGAGCAAAAACGAGGAGATGCTTCATTTTCTTGCTGTTCCTTCCAGCGCTGAAAGAAGCCAAAAGTCAGTCTGCTAGCCATGGCTGAAGCTGTACAGGATTATATAAGCGTGTACTGGAAATGCTCAAAATGCTGGAGATGTTTGAGAGCAGCAATCTGTTGATATTAAAGTGGAGGAGAGGAAAGTGAATCAAACAGTAAATGAGAACAGTGATTATTACGTATAAAGTGGAGATTACCTAAGATTACTGAGATGAGAGGATTGTGTGCTCGTCCCGATTACTGGTCTGGGTAATGCAAACACACAATAGTAATCAGCCAGCTTAAATGAGGATGTAACTATGTTCTAAGGTGAGTGTGTGTGTGTGTTATCGAAGTACACAGTGACCAGAGATAAGGCACGAAGTAGGGGCGACACTGCTGTACAACGAGGTCAGATTATACACACACTCAGTCTCACGCGGCTCACGCTTTTGGGAGATGGAGAAAACATAGATGAGAGCGGCCAGTGATCAGCCTCCGATGCTTCGGATGACATTAGCTAACTGTACACAAATATCAAAGGCACGTTATGCCGTGGCGACGCTGTTGTTGTTGTCTTGCAATCGTCACGAGAGAAAATCGTGCCAGCCGGCAAATGTAAAATGCCTGGGTTGCGATGGGGAACACCTTCTTTGGCAGCGGTGGTAGACTCTCTTGAGAAAATCTTGGTATCATCAAATCACCAGCAGCAATGCATGAGAAAAGTAACTCACTTGACACGTGAAGATTGGGTAGACGCTCTAGAAAAACAAAAATGTTAATTTTTGCATTATTGTGATGTTAAAGAATTTGATTGGAAACGCATCAATTTTTTTTGTTTCATTTACCTTTTAGTTTGACTTTCAAAACTGATTGATTTCAATGTCATCTTCNAGAAAAACAAAAATGTTAATTTTTGCATTATTGTGATGTTAAAGAATTTGATTAGAAACGCATCAATTTTTTTGTTTCATTTACCCTTTAGTTTGACTTTCAAAACTGATTGATTTCAATGTCATCTTTAACTGTTTGCAAAAGCTAATGTATTACTTTCAAACAAAAAACTAAAGTGAATAACATTATCTTCCACTAAAGCAAATGCATGTAATCATCCTTTTCAAATCTGTCAAACTGTATGCTGCCATCACTGATTGACAGAAAAAAGTGCATGATGAAGATAATTGTCAGTGACAGGCTGCTCATTCATTTGAAGATAAAGAGTTGACTGCAATTATAAATGCTCTCTCAAGTGCTGAAAGCATCATTAGAATTTGCACCTCTCAACCATCATGCACCATTCTCTGCTCGTCTTTGCCATTCTCTTGCTGACTGCTGCCTGCAGTATTGGTGCACAAAACTTGAGCCCGGTGAAAGTTCAATGCAAAGGTGCAACAGCGCTCATCGATTGGTCCAACGTCGTCAACGTCACCTCTACTGCCAACACTCCAGCGCCTAAATTACTCTCTTACGATATACACTACAAAAACAGCAGATTCTTGCTTAATGACAGATGGGAAAAAGCTTTTGAAAATGTTCCAGGTTCTGAAACCAGCTTTACCGTTTCTTTGCCTCCTGGAAGCAATATAACTTTTAAAGTGTACGCTCAAAAAGAGAACGGCGAGATCAGTGAAATTAGCAAAAACTCAACCAATCTTACTTGCACATCGTCAGAAAATCCGCCACACCGTAATCCAGAAAATGTGAGGGTTTTTGGAGAAACGACAGGTAGTGTGACTGTCTTTTGGACGCCAATGCCACCAGAAGATCACAATAGAAATGACTTTCACTACACCATCGAATTGAAACCGTATAATGACTCCGCCATCGATAAACCATTCAATTCGGGAAAACTGACTAACTGGCAAAAAAGTAACTACACCTTCACTGGTTTGCCCGCTTTTCAAGCATACCAGGCAAAAGTGAGTGCAAATAATCGTCTGGGTGCTGCCAATGTAGCGCCCATCTCAGTTTTTGGCTGGTCAGGTGAAGGCAAACCAGAAAAGGCACCTGATAACTTGCGGTTGAGCAACAACCAAACTGAACTGACTTGGGATCCGGTGGCAAAGGACACCGTTCGAGGCCTCCTTCACGGCTACAAGGTGACCATTGAAGAGCAGAAGTTGAGAGAGTGGATGCCAAACGAAAACGGAAAGATTGAGCTGAAAGTTAATGCACCGAAACATTCCGTTTAGCTGCCGCCTCAGTTGAGAGCCGACCGCAATTACACCGTTGGAGTGGCTGTTTTCAACTCATTACATCAAAGTGCTCCCTCTGAATTTCTGAGAATTGAGGCCAGTAAGAAGCCAATCACCGGTCCCGTGGGTAGTTTGGGCGTTCATAAACTGTCCGCCAGCACTGTGTACCTCTTCTGGTCGCCCCCTGATGATCTGCCCAATGGCCCGGTCGTCCAGTACCGATATGACTACGAGGAGGTAGGCGGTCCCAATTCTCACTTTGTACAACGCTCAGTACTGCCACCGGCGACTGGAGCACTGATAAGCGATCTACAGCCGGGAAAGGTGTTCCGGTTTTATGTGCAGCCACTCTCCAGAGGCAAGATCGGTGGAATCATGACAAATGTTACTTTTATTCACAATTGAATAAATTAATACACTTGGTAAGCATTTTGAATGATTGAACAGGAGAAAATGGCGTAAACGAAATAGGACACAAAGAACTGTAAAACACAAGAAAATTAAAGTAACAAAATGTTCAAACTACCCAAAACCGGTGTTACCTTGAATGTAGCGTACGCTGTTATCAAACCAAGCGGTCCGGCAGTAAACCCGAGGGCCATTGCTCGTCCACCCTCCAGCGTCAGCTCCTCATAGAGCACCATCACTCTGAACTTGTCTGCGATGCACTTGGAGTTTGACTTCTTCACTTCTTCACCGCCTTCATCATTGCTGCCTCTGCTAAAGACGGGAATACTCTGCTGCAGGGGCACGTAAACCGCCGCGCCGTTGTACGTTTTCCGATTGAGAGTGATGGCTGCGTGGGCGGCCGCTCCTCCGCAGAAGAGCTGAATCAAGTTGATCATTACAACAATTGCCTGAGGCGGTCTGCCCAGGATGATACGCGTAACCAGGTATATGTTGAATGGCAAATTCATGATCAGAAAGATGAAAAACTCTCGAGAAACGACCTGGCGATTGAGGTAGGAGAGCCGTCGTGTGATGGTAACGTGCTCCTCGATGATCTTTCCCAGTGCCACGCGGTACGTCTGCACCACCTTCAGATTGTACAGCTTGAGGTAGCGCAGCAAATGACTTACCTTCCGCCGCACCTCATCAAATTGTCGACCGTAAACCAGCGCAAAAAGGCGCACATTGTACGCCGCTATGGCAAAGTTGTTCATGCACTGGCAGCCAAGAGCCATGGTGCCCAGGCGGTCCAAAGCTAAAAAGATGTACTGCGAAAGACTGTACGACTGCGTTTTCAGGGCAAAACGCAGATAGGTGAGCACCGAAACAATGATTAGCAGTTCTGTAAAAAGTCGTCAACATCTGTTATAAGCATCAGAGGGGCTTCCACCACCAACAGCCACTTACTGAACACCACAAAGAGCGACAGGTTAATCAGCTCTACGGTGAGATTAAAGCGGTACAGCATGACTGAGGTGGTGGTGGCACTCTGGCTGCTGTCATTCCCGCCCTGCCTACTCCTCATCTGCTCTACGGTACGTCCACTCAGCTGTCGTAATCGTCTCACCAGCGTACACCACACCTTGCCAATGTTTCGAGTGCCAAAGTCTACGCTGAGTTGTGGCCACTGGCGAGCAAAAGCTCGCATAGACAAACCAATGTGGCGATCCTGCTCGCCAGCCACTGCCAGATCGGTCCAGTACCAGCGAATGTAGTGCTCCAGAAAGCAGTACACCAGCAGCAGTGAACAAAGGACAAAGGTGATCTTGTCAAAGCTGCCCCGCTGTTGAATGGCGTACATGACAATGTCGTAGCGAAAGTACGTTTTCTCCCAGCCATTGTAGAGGGAGATGCCGGCGGCAAAGTACCGGCCGGTCATTAGAAAGCAGTAGCCGTAGATTAGGCGGTCTTTTACTGAAACGGGCACAGTGGACCGGTAGTAGGTTGCCCACTTGTGGTTGAGTAGGTGACGGTAGTGGCCGGCCACCACATTGCAGTAGTAAATGGCAGACGGTGGCGGGTAGAAAAAGTGCGACGATTCCTGGAAAATTACCGACAACTTAAATGGAATAGATAACATTATATGGCGGAGGATCTTTAATGGTAATGATGATGATGATGACTTAAGAAATNTAGAAAAAGTGCGACAATTCCTGGAAAATTACCGACAACTTAAATGGAATGGATAACATTATATGGCGGAGGATCTTTAATGGTAATGATGATGATGATGACTTAAAAAACTCTCGTGTTGACAAAATTTTTGCCGTAGTAATTTTATTCTTTATGCTTGTAGTAAATTTTAAAGTAGTTAAAGTATTCAACACATTAAATTTAACCGTGTTGCAAGAATGATCATTTCGTGTTGAACAGAAACAAAACCTTGCTTTGACAGCTACTCGTCTTCTGTTTGACAGTTTCACCTTTTCGTTTCTTTTAAACAATTTTCTTTTTTTCAGTGTTTAAAATTAATAATTAATAGACTTCCACGCTGTTTTGTTTGCTTTTACTCACTATTTCACTCACTATTGATTTAGATTGTCAACAGTGTCTCTCTACTGAGTAGCGGAAATTATAACTAATGAAACTATCGGTTTGTAGAGGCAAAATTTCTTTAGTACTAAACTTCATTTATATCGGGTATTGTGTACTTGCACATTTTCCTAGTACACTCTAACCCAATTTAGTTCGTCTTTGTTTTAATTAATTGAAAACCGAAGTTCAGTACTTCTATACACACTAACTAATCGACAAGAAAACGTACGTTGTACGGCAATTCAGGTGTTTGCTCGTTTATTGGCAAACATCGATAACAATGACAGAAGAAGAAACATGTACTTGCAGCGATCAAAACTCAAGTCTGATCTCATGTCGTTCTGACTAATGTTTACAAACTTTTTCTGCAAAAAAATAGTTAAGCAGATGATTGGTTTGAAAAATGAAGTTATTTTTCTAGTTTAAAATGTGCAATAATTTTTGCCAATAAAAGTAATAGTTGGAGAACTTTCAGGTGCCCATTTCACCATTTAATATCTTATTAAAATGTACCTATTTTGCACTGAACCAGATTTGCTTTTAGGGTTCTTAAATTGGCTTTACCCAAACAACAAACAAGCAAAACAGTGTTTGCCTAAAGTAAGGAGGAACAGGGAAAAGCGAGAGGCGATGAGATGCTTAAAAGAGAAAGTGATCGCATCCAAGTGAAAGACAAGTGAGCTGATACAAGAAAAGCGCCTCGAGATACAGACAGCAATCTCAAGGTGAACAAAATGTAAGCTTAAAGGAAGAAAGAAAAGACAAGTTAAAAATAAGAAAAAAGTAGCAAAGAAGTCGTTGTCAATCACGACGCTAATCAAACAATCACTTCACTCAAATGGCTATCGTGTAGTACCAGTGCAGGCACCAGAGCGCTCTATCACCCAGACGACGACCAAAAAACGTCGGTGC